CATCTGCAGAACGTGAAGAACCAATAGCATCTACATCTGCAGAACATGAAGAACCAGTGGCATCTACATCTGTAGAACTTGAAGAACCAGTGGCATTTACACCTACAGAACGTGAAGAACCAGTGACATCTACATCTGCAGAACGCGACGAACCAGTGGCATCTACAGCTGTAGAACGTGATGAACCAGTGGCATCTACATCTGTAGAGCGTGAAGAACCAGTGGAATCTACATCTGCAGAACGTGAAGAACCAGTGCCATCTACATTTGCAGAACGCGAAGAACCAGTGGCATCTACATCTGCAGAACGTGAAGAACCATTAGCATCTACATCTGTAGAACGTGAAGAGCCAATGGCATCTACATCTACAGAACGTGAAGAACCAGTGGCATCTACATCTGCAGAACGTGAAGAACCAGTGGCATTTACACCTACAGAACGTGAAGAACCAGTGACATCTACATCTGCAGAACGCAAAGAACCAGTGGCATCTACAGCTGTAGAACGTGAAGAACCAGTGGCATCTACATCTACAGAACGTGAAGAACCAGTGGCATCTACATCTGCAGAACGTGAAGAACCAGTGACATCTACATTTGCAGAACGCGAAGAACCAGTGGCATCTACATCTGCAGAACGTGAAAAACCATTAGCATCTACATCTGTAGAACGTGAAGAACCAGTGGCATCTACATCTGGAGAACATGAAGAACCAGTGGCATCTACATCTACAGAACGTGAAGAACCAGTGACATCTACATCTGTAGAACGTGAAGAGCCAGTGGTGTCTACATCTGTAGAATGTGAAGAACCAGTGGCGTCTACATCTGTAGAACGTGAAGAACCAGTGGCGTCTACATCTGTAGAACGTGAAGAACCAGTGGCATCTACATCTGTACAACATGAAGAACCAGTGGCATCTACAGCTGTAGAACGTGAAGAACCAGTGGCATTTACATCTACAAAACTTGAAGAACCAGTGGCGTCTACATCTGCAGAACGCGAAGAACCAGTGGCATCTACATCTACAGAACGCGAAGAACCAGTGGCATCTACATCTGCAGAACGTGAAGAACCAATAGCATCTACATCTGCAGAACATGAAGAACCAGTGGCATCTACATCTGTAGAACTTGAAGAACCAGTGGCATTTACACCTACAGAACGTGAAGAACCAGTGACATCTACATCTGCAGAACGCGAAGAACCAGTGGCATCTACAGCTGTAGAACGTGATGAACCAGTGGCATCTACATCTGTAGAGCGTGAAGAACCAGTGGAATCTACATCTGCAGAACGTGAAGAACCAGTGCCATCTACATTTGCAGAACGCGAAGAACCAGTGGCATCTACATCTGCAGAACGTGAAGAACCATTAGCATCTACATCTGTAGAACGTGAAGAGCCAATGGCATCTACATCTACAGAACGTGAAGAACCAGTGGCATCTACATCTGCAGAACGTGAAGAACCAGTGGCATTTACACCTACAGAACGTGAAGAACCAGTGACATCTACATCTGCAGAACGCAAAGAACCAGTGGCATCTACAGCTGTAGAACGTGAAGAACCAGTGGCATCTACATCTACAGAACGTGAAGAACCAGTGGCATCTACATCTGCAGAACGTGAAGAACCAGTGACATCTACATTTGCAGAACGCGAAGAACCAGTGGCATCTACATCTGCAGAACGTGAAGAACCATTAGCATCTACATCTGTAGAACGTGAAGAGCCAATGGCATCTACATCTGTAGAACGTGAAGAAGCAGTGGCATCTACATCTGTAGAACGTGAGGAACCAGTGGCATCTACATCTGTAGAAGATAAAGAACCAGTGACACCTACATCTGTAGAACGTGAAGAACCAGTGGTATCTACATCTGTAGAACGTGAAGAACCAGTGACATCTACATCTGCAGAACGTGAAGAAGCAGTGGCGTCTACATCTGTAGAACGTGAATAACCAGTGGCATCTACATCTGTAGAACGTGATGAACCAGTGGCATCTACATCTGCAGAACGTAAAGAACCAGTGGCATCTACATCTGCAGAACGTGAAGAACCAGTGGCATCTACATCTGTAGAACGTGAAGAACCAGTGGCATCTACATCTGAAGAACGTAAAGAACCAATAGCATCTACATCTCTGGAACGTGAGGAACCAGTGGCGTCTACATCTGTAGAACGTGAAGAACCAGTGGCACCTACATCTGGAGAACGGGAAGAACCAGTGGCGTTTACATCTGTAGAACGTGAAGAATCGTTGGCATCTACATCTGTATAACGTGAAAAATCAGTGGCATCTACATCTATAGAACATGACGAATCAGTGACATCTACATCTGCAGAACATGAAGAACCATTGACATCTATAGCTGTAGAACGTGAAGAACCAGTGGAATCTACATATGCAGAGCATGAATAACCAGTGGCATCTACATCTGCAGAACGTGAAAAACCAGTGGCATCTACATCTGTAGAACGTGAACAATCGTTGGCATATACATCTACAGAATGTGAAGAACCAGTGGCATCTACATCTGTAGAACGTGAAGAACCAGTGGCGTCTACATCTGTAGAACGTGAAGAACCAGTGGCATCTACATCTGCAGAACGTGGAAAAACAGTGGCATCTACATCTGCAGAACGTGAAGAACCAGTGGCATCTACATCTGCAGAACGTGAAGAACCAGTGGCATCTACATCTGTAGAACGTGAAAAATCAGTGGCATCTACATCTATGGAAGATGCTGAACCAGTGACATCTACATCTGCAGAACATGAAGAACCATTGACATCTACATCTGTAGAACGTGAAGAACCAGTTGCGTCTACATCTGCAGAACGTGAAGAACCAGTGGCATCTATATCTGTAGAAGATAAAGAACCAGTGACACCTACATCTGTAAAACGTGAAGAACCAGTGGTATCTACATCTGTTGAACGTGAAGAACCAGTGACATCTACATCTGCAGAACGTGAAGAAGCAGTGGCGTCTACATCTGTAGAACGTGAATAACCAGTGGCATCTACATCTGTAGAACGTGATGAACCAGTGGCATCTACATCTGCAGAACGTAAAGAACCAGTGGCATCTACATCTGCAGAACGTGAAGAACCAGTGGCATCTACATCTGTAGAACGTGAAGAACCAGTGGCATCTACATCTGAAGAACGTAAAGAACCAATAGCATCTACATCTCTAGAACGTGAGGAACCAGTGGCGTCTACATCTGTAGAACGTGAAGAACCAGTGGCACCTACATCTGGAGAACGTGAAGAACCAGTGGCGTTTACATCTGTAGAACGTGAAGAATCGTTGGCATCTACATCTGTAGAACGTGAAAAATCAGTGGCATCTACATCTATGGAACATGACGAACCAGTAACATCTACATCTGCAGGATATGAGGAACCATTGACATCTATAGCTGTAGAACGTGAAGAACCAGTGGAATCTACATTTGCAGAGCATGAAGAACCAGTGGCATCTACATCTGCAGAACGTGAAAAACCAGTGGCATCTACATCTGTAGAACGTGAACAATCGTTGGCATATACATCTACAGAATGTGAAGAACCAGTGGCATCTACATCTGTAGAACGTGAAGAACCAGTGGCGTCTACATCTGTAGAACGTGAAGAACCAGTGGCATCTACATCTGCAGAACGTGGAAAAACAGTGGCAACTACATCTGTAGAACGTGAGGAACCAGTGGCATCTACATCTGTGGAATGTTAACAACCTGTGACATCTACATCTGTAGAACGTGAAGAAACAGTGGTATCTTCATATGCAGAACGTGAAGAACCATTGGCATCTACATCTGTAGAGCGTGAAGAACCAGTGGCATCTACATCTGCAGAACGTGAAGAACCAGTGGCATCTACATCTGCAGAACGTGAAGAACCAGTGGCATCTACATCTGCAGAACGTGAAAATCTGTGGCATCTACATCTTAGAACGTGAAGACACCTGGTAGAGTATTTTAAGCTCGGGGTGAGCAGCAGCTACATCATTTTTTTGCCAGTATCAAAGTTTCTAGCAACCCCAGGGGGTTCGTGATGCATCCCAGGTTAAGAACCACTACACTACACACTACCGTATACACTACATTATATACGACGCTATACTCTGCTGTGCACTACTATACACTATACAATACACTACTTTACACTGCACTATTCACTACGTTAAACACTACTATACACGACATAATACACTCCGCTATAGTCGACACTGCTATACACTGCACTATACACTACTATACACTCCACTATACACTACTATACACTACTATACACTACTATACACTAAATTTAGATTTAAAGCTTTCGTGACTGCAGGGATTCGTATTCTTGGTTCTTTCGGTAAATTCACGTAGAAGGGAAACAATAAAATAATGATAAAATAAAACAATAAAATAACATATGCTTATCATTTCATTGTTTCCCTTCTACGTGACTTTACCAAAAGAACCAAGAACACTATACACTACATGATACACTACGCTATACTGTACTGTTCACTGTTACACAACACACTATACACTACTGTACACTACGCGAAACCACTACGTTGTACACTGCACTATACACTACATTATATACGACGCTATACTCTGCTGTGCACTACTATACACTGCACTATTTACTACGTTAAACACTCCTATACACGACATAATACACTCCGCTATAGTCGACACTGCTATACACTGCACTATACACTACTATACACTACACTATACACTACTGTACACTAAATTTAGATTTAAAGCTTTCGTGACTGCAGGGATTCGTATTCTTGGTTCTTTCGGTAAATTCACGTAGAATTGAAACAATAAAATAATAATAATAAAATAAAACAATAAAATAACATCTGTTTATCATTTCATTGTTTTCCTTCTACCAAAAGAACCAAGAACACTATACACTACATGATACACTACGCTATACTCTACTGCTCACTGTTACACAACACACTACACACTACTGTACACTACGCGAAACCACTACGTTGTACACTGCACTATACACTAACCGACTGCTCTAACCCCTAACCCCCTTACCCACCCGGCCTCACAGAGGACCTGGCGGCAAAACGAAAAACCAACAAGAGCGACAAACCCTGTCTCGCCCACGCGTGTGCTCGGGCGCAGCGATGTCGCCACCGAACGCCACCTCCCTCCGCGGGCCCCTCAACGCGACCGCGTGGGATCCCGCTCCTCCGGCGGGCCCCCCCGCCGGAGTGACCGCGTGGGAGTCCCCGTGGGCGCTCGCCTTCATGTCGAGCCCCTTCCGCGAGCCGCCGTCCCTCCGGCCCCTCTACGTCGCCCTCTTCGCCGCCGCCCACGCGGCCATCGTCGCGGGCAACTCCCTCCTCCTCGCCGCCATCCTCCTCGACCGCCGCCTCCACAGGCCCATGTTCGTCCTGCTCGCCAACCTGGCCGCCTGCGACCTCCTCGGCAGCGCGGCGACGCTCCCCGGCTACGCCCGCTACGCCGCGGGCGCCGACGGCGTGCCGCTGGGCGCGTGCCTGGCGCAGATGTTCGCGGGCCACGTCTACGGCGCCCCCCTCGCGGGCCTCTCCCTCGCCTCGATGGCCGTGGACCGCGCGCTCGCCGTCCGCCTGCCCCTGCGCTACGCGGCGCTCGCGACCAACTGGCGGGCCCTCGCCACGTGAGCCGCGGCCGCCGTCGACGGGGCCACCGCCGCGCGCCTCCGGCTGTGCGGGGAGCGCCCCGTCGCTATGCCGCACTGCGACCACTTCGCGCTCGTGCGCATGGCGTGCGACGACGCCGCCGGCGGCGACGCGTCGGTCAACCGCGCCTACGACCTCGGCGTCAAGGCCGCGCTGCTCGCCGGCGGCGCGGCCACGGTGCTGGCGTCGTACGCCCTCGTCGCGACGCTCGGTTGCGGCGGGGCCCGCGACGGGGCGGAGCGGCGGGGACGGGGGAAGGCGCTGCGCACGTGCGTCACCCACCTGATGGTGTTCCTCGTGCTGCAGGTGTCCGTGGTGCTGCTCATCGCGCAGAACCACATCCAGAGGTACCTGGTCGACTCCGTCTACCTGCCCGCCTACCTGGCCATCAACTTCCACGTGGTGCCGCCGCTGCTCAACCCCATCATCTACGGCCTGAGGACGGTGGAGATCCAGCACGGCGTCCGGAAGCTGTTCCGGAGGAAGGTGCTGCCCATCACTCATTAAGGAGAGGGGAGGGTGGGCGGGGGGAACCCCCCCAACCCCACCCCCACTCCTCCCAACCACCCCCCTCCCCCTAGACCCAGAATCATACCGCTGGAGGTATCCGGTGAGCCACGAAGCTCTTTTGTCAGAGATGTTCCAGTAGGGGCGCGGGGTAAGAACGTTACGACAACAACAACAACAAACGCAGGTTACACAGACACGATAGGAGTGCAAAGTACAAGAAAGGCCAACACAATCACCCGCACGCATATGTAGAGGCAGTGCAGGTGTACAGCGGTGTGTGGGTGGAGACGGTGTGGGTGGAGACGGTGTGTGGGTGGAGACGGTGCGTGGGTGGAGACGGTGCGTGGGTGTAGATGGTGCGTGGGTGGAGATGGTGTGTGGGTGGAGACGGTGTGTGGGTGGAGACGGTGTGGGTGGAGATGGTGTGGGTGGAGACAGTGTGTGGGTGGAGACGGTGTGTGGGTGGAGATGGTGTGTGTAGAGACGGTGTGTGGGTGGAGACGGTGTGTGGGTGGAGACGGTGCGTGGGCGGAGACGGTGCGTGGGTGGAGACGGTGTGGGTGGAGACGGTGCGTGGGCGGAGACGGTGCGTGGGTGGAGACGGTGTGGGTGGAGACGGTGCGTGGGTGGAGACGGTGTGTGGGTGGAGACGGTGTGTGGGTGGAGACGGTGTGTGGGTGGAGACGGTGCGTGGGTAGAGACGGTGCGTGGGTGGAGACGGTGTGGGTGGAGACGGTGTGTGGGTGGAGACGGTGTGTGGGTGGAGATGGTGTGTGTGTGGAGACGGTGTGTGGGTGGTGACGGTGTGTGGGTGGAGACGGTGTGTGGGTGGAGATGGTGTGTGGGTGGAGACGGTGTGTGGGTGGAGACGGTGCGTGGGTGGAGACGGTGCGTGGGTGGAGACGGTGTGTGGGTGGAGACGGTGCGTGGGTGGAGACGGTGCGTGGGTGGAGACGGTGCGTGGGTGGAGACGGTGCGTGGGTGGAGACGGTGCGTGGGTGGAGACGGTGTGTGGGTGGAGACAGTGTGGGTGGAGACGGTGCGTGGGTGGAGACGGTGCGTGTGTAGAGACGGTGTGTGGGTGCAGGAAGAGTACGTTACCCGGCGGTCAAGAGGGGTAATCACGGAAGCGTGACCATCCGGGAAGTTCGGGAACGGGCTAGAGGGTTCAAGAAAAACGGTGGGCGTTGTCGGCCGGGGGCGGAGCGATGGCCACGCAGGGAATAAAAGGCGGTGAGAAGCGAGGTTCGGGGCTGCCATGGGATTGGGGTCGACTGTCTCCACGCCGTCGCTGACTTCACGCCGTCGATGTCATAGCGTCGTCGCTGCTTGCGTGCCATCCCTGGTCCAAGTTATCCGCGCGTTATCCCTCTCCAAGTTCAAGTCATGTGCGCGAGACGCCCTAAATAATAAATAAAGAAATCTCTACAGTACAAGTTGTCCCAGCGTCACTGCACATACACAATGCAACACGAAACCATCTGCCCATCCTACCAGGGCAAAAACCCCACTTGAGGGTATTAACTAATTATAAGAGTGTGTTTTTTGTTTGCATTTAAATGACTGCAGGTATTGTGGTTAATGCAGTGGCATGAATCCTCGTAAAAAGGTTTCAGTTTTGTTGCCAAGAAACAGGGGAAAAACCATATTATTATTATTATATTTTGGTACTGGCAAAGGAGGTCTAATGATGATGTAGATGCTCACCCCGAGCCCTCATTACTTTGATAGTGGCGTTGTCTTTGAGCTGTGTGACGCCTTCTGCCGTCATCTGGTCGAGCACCAATTGGGTCGAGGCTCAAAAGAAAGCCGTCTCTGGTGTGGACCAATCAGTTTTAAGGACAATGCATATATTATCACAGTATGTTTTTTGTTTGCATTATTGACTGCAGGTATTGTGGTTAATGCAGACATCAATCCTCGTAAAAAGGTTTCAGTTTGGCTGCCAAAAAACAGGGGAAAAACTCTATTATTATATTTTGGTACTGGCAAAGGAGGTCTAATGGGGTAATAACTTATTTCAAAAAAGAAGCGACCTGGCTGGCCACAAATGATGGCCGCTCAACAACGTGACCCCTTTAATAATTTTGGGGCCATTTAAAGGCCCCCCCCCCGCCCCCCGTCTCGCTCTCTCGTTGCTTCTCACTTCTCGCTCCCCGCACCACGGACACCAACGTGTCCATTGCAGCACACAGAGCGAGCATCTTGACCGTCAACACGACAACAACAACAACAACAGCAGCAACGACAACGACGACCTGCATCTTCCGTTCCACCCTTAGAACAACAACACCCCTATCACTACCCCTATCGCTACCACTATCACTACCACTATCGCTACCCCTATCGCTACCCCTATCGCTACCCCTATCACTATCCCTATCGCTACCCCTATCGCTACCCCTATCACTACCCCTATCACTACCTCTATTACAACGCCTACCACTACCCCCATCATTCCCCCTATCGCTACCCCTATCACTACTGCTATCGCTACCCCTATCCCTACCCCTATCGCTACCCCTATCGCTACCCCTATCACAACCCCTATCACTACCCCTATCGCTACCCCTATCGCTACCCCTATCGCTACCCCTATCGCTAACCCTATCACTTCCCCTATCACTACACCTATCACTACCACTATCACTTCCCCTATCACTACCCCTATCACTACCCCTATCACTACCCCTATCACTACCCCTATCACAACCCCTATCACTACCGCTGTCACTACCCCTATCACTACCCCTATCATTCCCCCTATCATTACCCCTATCGCTACCCCTATCACTACCCCTATCACTACCCCTATTACTACGCCTACCACTACCCCTATCATTCCCCCTATCGCTACCCCTATCAGTAACCCTATCGCTACCCCTATCACTAAGCCTATGATGATTGCGATAATTTTCGTCGTCAGTGAGACATCTTCATCGGCATCATCATCATTGTCAATACATCATCATCAATACATTCATTGATATCGTCTACGTGATGATCGTTAACCCAAGACATCATCATCACTGTCAATACAACATCATCAATAAATATACCAAAATCGTCTACGTGATGACCATCAACCCAAGACATCACCATCATCATTGTCAAGAGATCATCATCATCATCATCACGGATTTAAACAGAGGTACACCATCACCATCAGGATCAATATGGGACATGGCTATCATCGGCATAACGTGTATTATTATCATCATCATCATCAGCAGCAGCAATTCAACATACACATCATTCATAATAAAGGTTCGTGGGTTAGATCGCGTTATTTATAAATGCGTCGCAACCCTCTGTCACCCGACATGGCCAATCAGTAAAAAAAAAGTGTCACGTTGACAAAAGACCAAATAGTTCACGACTTCAGCCCACCGGTGTGTTGAAGAGTGAATCCACAACATTTACAATGTTTGAGTAGCACGACGTTTCGCCGGTTATTACACGTCCATCCCACGTGCTTCCGGATGACTTCATCGTTGTTAAACCTCATCAGGTGAAGAGATTAGATGCGGGGGGAGTGGGGGGTGTAAGCAATTACGTAATAGATCAATCATCGGCCACTTAGCATGTGACTCACCTGTAAGGAATTGCAATGTGCGTGTTGTTCATTACTTAGTAGTACGCTCCCAGGCTACGCTGGAGCCTGTAGCCATCACAGCGGTTGTAATTCTTTGAATTCTTCTCAATTTCGAATGGATTCTCGAGCTAGTCTTGGCCAGTAATGATTCGTTTCGTGCATTAACACTTCGACGTTATCAAAATAAACGGAGTGTCCTTGTCGGCAAGCATGCTCTGCCGCTGCTGACAGCTGTGTCTGGGAGAATTTCTTGTTGCTCGGTGTTCTTTTAGTCTCACGCTAGCTGATGTTACGTCCCGTCTGTCCAATATAGCATTTACAGCGTAAGCAATTGCTCCGATATACACCTTGTGTTGAAAGCTTCGGTAATTCATCTTGAAATTTCGATTTAAAGCTTTCGTGACTGCAATGATTCATCTTCTTTGGTTCTTTCGGTAAAGTCACGTAGAATGAGAATAAAATAATAAATTGATAAAATAAAATAACACAATAATATTCTCACGACGTTTCGGCCACAACACAAGCGGCCTTCATCAGGTGAAGGGACGAGGTGAAGGGACGAGACTGTCTGGTAGGACACTCCAGCGCTGTCCTACCGGACAGTCTCGTCCCTTCACCTGATGAAGGCCGCTTGTGTTGTGGCCGAAACGTCGTGAGAATTTTATTGTGTTATTTTATTTTATCAATTTATTATTTTATTCTCATTCTACGTGGTGACTTTACCGAAAGAACCAAAGAAGATGAATTCATCTTTAGTACAACACACTAGTTTAACTGTGTCGGAACCTCCTGGTGGTTACTACACCAGCAGCCCGCAGGGATTATTGTGTCCGTCCGTCCGTCTTGCATCCAAAAGTGGGAGGGGAGGGGCTGGGTGGAGAGGTTGGGGGGGCTGGGTGGGGAGGGAGGGGCTGGGTGGGGAGGGTGGGAGGGGTGGGGAGGATGGGAGTGGCGGGGCTGGGTGGGGGAGGGGCTGGTCACCCCGTGGTGCCCTTATAAAACTCACCTACTCACGCCGGCTTGTCCACGCCCTTACAGTCGGGCAATATTGTGTGGAATGCACCACGTGGTGGTGCCGCCGCTGACCCTGGCCATTGACAAGAGCAACCCAACGTTCCTACCAGCTCCTCCCTCCGCAGGAGAATTTGTTTGAATGTTGTGTACCATACCGAATGTCACTTTGATGTTTTTGCTTTTGTAAAACACGGGTTAATTTGTCAGTAACTCCAGAGAGATATATATAGTAATTTTATTGTTTTTGATAATCTGATCACTTTCAGCAGTGTTGTACTTCGAGCTGCGATGCAGTCGCACGTTTTCAGAAACGGCCGTGTCTGTCACAAGCGATAGCTCAAACAAAGTCGGCTCATCATCATCGTCATCATGTGGAAATGTAAAGCAGTGGCCAAATACTCTAAAAGAATTTAGATTGAAAGCTTTCGTGACTGCAGGGATTCATATTCTTGGTTCTTTCGGTAGAGTCACCACGTAGAAGGGAAACAATAAATATAATGAAAATATAAAAACAATACAATTCTCACGACGTTTCAACTGCAATACAAGCAATCATCATCAGGTTATGAAAACCACAACAAGAAAATTTGAAAAAACAGTGGCGTTATTTTTAACGTTAGCACCACGGAGGTGCTAACGTACACTCCACATATCCTGTACACCAGGCGAG